AAGCGACTTCCACCCAAGTTTCCAGGCGTAGAAGCCTCTGGGTAGCCGAATGGTATGAGAGGATAAGAACATCGAGTTATGCCCTGGCTCACCTTGAATAGGGCAAGTACACATCGAAGGCCACATCGCCTTGACGGTATTCAAGTGCATGGCGTACCCGGGAAACTGGTAGATGCATGTTTTCTCATTTCTTGGGCCTTAGTGAGGTTTGGTCCTATTAGTCGGCCCGGATGTTGCTTCCATTCGGGCCAACTAATAGGGCTAAAACTGAGAAGTCTTGTTATCAGCTCGCACGTTTCGAAGACTTCTAGGAGCACCCATTCCTAATTGAAATAGATTTTGTCAGAAATCCGTTCTCAGGCTACTTTTACCCCCTTCAAACCAAAATTGGTCGAGACGGCTCAATTCACCCTTTATTGCCTTTCCTTGCTCGCCTGACAGAAGTTGGCTCGATGTTTTCTTCCTTGTGCGTGGGCGAAGGTGGTGTAGTGGCAGGTAGCACGCCCACCACACTCACGGTGCGGGGGAAATCTCGGATCGCCTCCTACCCAGGCCAACCAAACTTTCTAACCTCTGGAAAGGGTGGATTGAGTCGAGATTCACCTGGGAGGATAAGACACTGACATTCACATCGGTTGGCCCCCACAATTCTTTGCATGAGCTAAAACGCCCTCAATGAGGCGCTTCAATTCTGAATAAAATTGGAACACGTGTCGCATACTAAAAGGGATTGATCAGACTTCATCCTTTATCTATCCTTCACCCTTTAACCCTGAAGGGTGGATATTGTCTGGGTGGAAATTCCCTCCCCCCCCCCTCCCCACTCCCCTCCCACCCACATGAGCACCTGATCCGTTCTGCGCCATCACCTGGAACTATTATAGCTCTGATGGCGTCGATTGGAGGGGCAGCACGCAATTCTTTAGCCTGCCATGCTTTGAGCCTCTATGAGCCCTCTCGAAGATCCCGAGTTTAACAGTCATAAGGAAAAGCTCCCAAACTGAACCGGTTCCCCGCTCATCTCAGCCTGTGGTGTGAATCCTCAATTCTGTAGCTTCAAGGGACATTCAAAGTTTTCAAAATAATTGCATACTTAGAGGTGACATCCCAACGCTAACACATCGCCGATAGCGGCATGCTTTGCATGACGTCCGATTCGATCCCTGAAATGAAAAGAAGATGACTGACAGCTAAAAGCTTCTTCCGTCTGAAATATGAGTAGAGCTTCAGGCCACGTATTAACAAAATCTATCTCGGAGGGGACTGCATCTTGCTCTACGTGTAAGCATTGTTGGGAAGGGTTGCTGCTTCTTGCCAACTCATAGAGAATGGGGTCAAAAATTGATTATGATAGTGCTTTCTAAGCAAAAGCCGTAAAGGGCCTAGTTGGCTATGCTGACGTGATGACAGCTTGCAGAGGGCAAAGCGAGTTTCCGCGACTTGGCTGCATTCCCAAAGGCGTGCCCCATTGATGCGGGTGGTTAGTACGGTGAGGTGGCCACGTAAGAACGCCATGAGTCGCCAAGAAGCAGAAACTTTCCACGTAAGAACCTTTATCTTCCTATTTTCACTTCTAAATTCCTGGTTCAGACGCATTATAAAGTCCTTTCACACTTCTAACAGCAGGCTTTTTGTAGTACTTGCAGTGGGAGTCCATGTTCCGACGGTTTCCTTTGATTATCAGTAAGAAACAACCTGTGACCCTGTGGATCTTTACGTAAAAGGGCGGATTTCGGCGCGTATTATTACGCGCTATGTATGAGAAAGTGCTTGAAAGATCGTGGATAGGAGCGCAGCTTTGCCCGTCTTTTCCATCAACTCATGACATGCTGATCCGGCAGCAAATGGCGGAGAAGGATTTAGGCGTACAAGCTCGTACTTTTGTAGGTGGGTCTTTTGGCGAGACTATAACACAGGTGGGTGGGGAAAGTAAGCGCTGAAGCATCGAGTGATGCTGAAGGGCATGTGGCGAGCCAAAAAAACGGGCTTTTTTTGAGAGGAAAGGATTCCCGGATGGGTGAGTCATTCATTATGCGTGAAAGGTGCAATCTATGAGGTCGTAGTAGTCACGGAAGTCGTATGGAGCGGGATGAAGTAAAATAGAGAAAAGCGGGCTCCGACGGCGATTAGAGAGGATCAAAGGCACGGTCGCGCGGAACCAGTAACAGAAAGTCGAAAATAATGGTGTGGGAGGGTCGTTTAGTCGCAACGAATAACCTTGTACAGCTTCGCAGAAAACACTTCGAGGGAGTGGCGGTAAGGCACAATGTTGTACAAGTGACTCCGCCAAAAAACCAGTGACTCCACCCTCGCTGATAGATATTTTATCGTTTGGCTCTCTCTTTGTGCTTCTCTTCTCGGCAAGCTACTTCTATGGCCTGCCGAACTCCCCCTCGCTTAAGCTCCCTCCTCTTTCTCCTGCCTCCAGACGCTGGCCATCCGATCGCTGCTCTCCTCACTCCCACTCCTTGCGCACTCTCCTCCCTCTCCCCCCAACTCTCCGCTCCTCCCTCTTCGACTCCCCCGCCTTCCTATGCCGCCCTCCTCCTCCCCGTGCTCCCGCTCCTCCTCCCCATCCCTCCGCCCTCCGTGCTCACCACCTCCTCGCTATACTCTCGCCCAGAGCTACAATAGATGTTTTTGCCTATCGCTCAGAAAAAGAAAGCCTGAGCGTTTTTGACTCTTTGCTTCGTTTTCTTCTCACAAGCGAGTCGATTAGCACGTACACTTCTATTTCCCACCCCGATACTAACGAACGACTCTCTGACTCATCGCGAACTCTGCCTTTAAGTCCAAAGACCGTGGAAAAGGCTGCTTTGACTGCGCCTGTTCACACGCCTTCTCGTATGGGGGTTAACAGACTTTAGTGAGGTCGGGAGAGGGGTGTCAGGGGGAGTTAAGGCGTTATATGTCCGCAGGCTTTGATTCAGACACACATAGTGAGCGAAAAAGTCGCCGTCGGTCCGTATTCACAGGAGCGAAAAATTGCCGGCCGTGGTCCGTTCTCGCAGAGCAGACTCGCGCTGTTTGTTACCTCTCCTCGATCTTCGATAGCACTAGCTCCTTAGTAATTTACTAAGTTAAGCGCGAAATGACTCCTGGAATGTTACTGTAGAGAGTTGAACTCTTCGATAGGTATTCAGCACTTTGAACTAGTGGTCGCCCAACGACTGGGGGTATCCGATCAACAGTTCCCGTTATCGTGAGCGGTTACTATTGAGCTTTCATGATGTTGCAATACACCCTACATTCGTCCACTCTTTTGTCTTCTGTCGTTTTTGCTCCATTTCGTCCTTGACAATCAACACTTGGAACAAATCAGATGGTTGGAGTAACCCTGACGTTGAGGACCTAACTGCTCCTCAGAAACTATTTCCCGTACACTCGAAGGGAGTAGGTTTCAGGGGAAGGAGGTGGGGGGGGTGGAGAGTGGTTGAAGCATGGAGTGAGCACGATGATCCCTACAGGTGCATGTTCATTGATGTAAAAGGGCAGGGATGCCTACTCAAATCACAAGGCCTAGTACGTATTGAATTCTCACGGCTACCTGTTGGATGCCCTTCAAGCTAAGTGATAGCTTATCCCTCCTAATCACGGGACAGGCCGGCTTTAAACCGAAGGATTCGAGCCGCGGACTTTCTAGACGTCTCTAGACGTGGGGACGTCTAATCTAAGAAACCCATAAACCGCTTACATATACCTCAAGGGCTGTCTGGCTTGCTTTTACTCAGATACCAGCTAGATTAGCTCATTTTCGAAACTGAAAAGCGTTTAAGAAACTTACAACGACAACACAACGGCCAGCATTCTTGCACTCGAAACGTTCATGGTTCTTTCGGAGACACGTGCGTCCGAAGAATGACTAAAAAAGGTGTGTTTACTTGAACTAAACTCTGTAAAGGGTTATGTGTGGCACGAGGCCCGGTTTCAAGCCGGGCAGATGCTTCACATAAAGTTAATTTCATGAAGATTTCACATTTTCACAGTAGTGTTCGCTGTGGATGGATGATAGGGTGTGTCTGCGTTTGGCGCGCAGCCAACCCGTTCTCCTCAAGTTGTTGGAACGGATAAGGCGGCGTTCATAGTTCGCGACAGCAGCGGCGATCGCGGCGATGAACGCTATGAACGCTGCCTAAGCAACATTAGCTTCGGTAAACCGCTGGTGCCACTGGTACAGGATATGGTACTATCCTATCGTTTGCAGAGAGACAAAAAAAGAAAATACAGTCTCGCGCCAAATCCATCCCCTTATCATATCATCTGCAGCGAACAATTCTGTTCAGTTTTTCATACAGTTTTATAAACCTAAAATTACATATAGTATATGGATGTTTGGAGGAAGAAGGGTTTCTGAAAGAATCTAGTAGCAGTCGCCATCTAAGTCGTGGAGACACACTTACTATGTTCGGCAAGTTCGCAAACAGTGTCGGGAATAGTGCGGTACGATCCTATGACCAGGGCACATCATTGTTCGGGGAATTTGCTCGAGTTCGTACGACTACCCCACTTTTTGAGGGGTTGGTACTACCTCCCCCTCTCAACTGGTTCCATCCTCATCGCGTGTCGCGCTCGGGAAGCACAGCACGAGGAAATACAATCGCCTCTCCAGCCAGACCATTTTTAGAAGTTTCTCCCAATTCGCTCCGCTCTTCCAGAGGCTTTTCCGAAATCGTCGCTACTTTTACCAAGAATTTTGAACATCGAGCGGTGAGAGGGAGGGTTAGAAAGCCGGTATGCGGGGCTGCCCGGCCCTGACTCAGTTGGTGTCTACGCCCTGCATCGGCGCGGGGTCAGCGCCCCTGATCAGGACACATGAAATATGGACCAACAACGAAAAAGTCAGCAAAGTCTTTCAGAAGTCCGAAGGGGAATACGACCCTTCCCCCTCAAAGCTGCAAATATGACCTTTCCTTCACAACGTTTTGAGTCAGAAAAATGCAACCATGAAAAATTTTTTTCTCAACCTGAATACGACCCCTCGTCTCCCAGGACCAAACAGACCCGCCGCCCCTCCCTTGGGGAATCCCTCCGACAAAAATGTGCCCTGCTTATGACTGCCAGGTACTCAAACAATTGCTGTTCCAAGGCCTCAGAACTAGATGCAAATTATTATGGTTGAGTTATTTTGAGCGGCACTGCGAAGTGCAGCGCCTCATACTTCCAGACTATGAGGATACTAAGCCTCATATAGCTAATGGAGACCTAAGAGAGGAGTCTGTAGTGCTTTCATGAACCTCAATTTGAACTTTGGAATGCTTGCAGGAAAAGGGGATTGTTTTCGATTTTGTTTTTTAGACTAGGATTCGCTTTCACGAACTCTCACAGCACCTCGTTTGTTAGGATCTGTACAACATAAAAATGGCTAAAGGAGCATCGAATCACAAGGTTTCGAAGTTCTCGCGCTGGTTTTTTTTTCATTCTGCGCTTATTCTGCGCTTTTGCCAAAGTGCACTGGATGGTAGGGATGGTGGAAACAAAGAGAGCGAGCGTCGCGGACGCTCATCCTGGTCTCAGTTGGGGGTCGGTGCCAGAATGATTGAGAACTTCATCTGCTCCTTGTCACCTTGAATCTACTCGCTCCCTTAAGTTAGCTACAGGAAACGTTGTGTTCTGAGGCTCATTTAAAGGGCTGAGAGTTTGGAGGGTGTCCCTAATTTATGTGTTCCACGTCTTCCTGATCCTGGGAGATGAACTATGGGGCAAAGTCTCGATCGCCAACGACTCAGAAAGCGCTTTTCGCTTGCCGAGCGAGAACGCTATCGGGTACCTTACTAGTGCGCAAATCAGTTTGTTGGGAGCACCAAATGGTACTAAGCGAAACCCGTTTAACACGTTACGGACAGCTTGACACACATGGTGTGTCATACAATTTTTTTTGGCGCTGCTCATGCGTCTCTTCGGCACTTTTCTTCGTGTCGCCAACGTCATCGCAACAACGGTTCTAGACAGGCCAATATTTTTTGCCGTAAGTACATATGTGAAGACGCAGTTCGAATATTACTGAATGTCTATTCGGAAAGTGATTAACCATCGAAGAGTCACAACGAAATGTGTCAAAGCCACTCTGTGAATACCTGGTGAAATTCCTGTTCGAACCACTTACATCAGGTGCAACGCTTCACAGAGAATTCTGCAAAGGTCTCACGCAACGACATTGACATGATTTAGCAAAAGGGACAAATGAGAGTGCAACATACCCCTCCCAAGTCGAACAGCTCTCACCACCAGGTGCCCTCCAACTTTTGCTCAATTCCTTTTTTTGTTGAAAATATCTTGGGTCTTGCTGATTTTTGGAGAGCGGACTGCGGCATAAACAACAGTAATCATGAAAAACGAATTTCTTACTATTTGTTATCATTCTTTTACCCTCTGACCACAAAGAAAGCCATGAGTTTTCATGGCCCCCGAATATTCAAGGGATTACCCATGGGCAGGCAGTCACAGGGTCTAATAATAGTCATTACACTCTACAACGTGTTCGCCCAGACCCGCTCTTGTTAGGGAAGATGTCACTCAAATTAAACTGCGAAAGGGATCATCGCCTAGCTGCGCAATGCGAGTCCACTTACCACAGCTAGTCGCTAACGATCGAATCTCCCTAGAGGAGACATCCGACATTACGGGGCCTAAGTTGGCGGGCAGAGAAGTGGAGCATAGGTCTTGCAAGTTCAATGTGCTTGCCTAGGCGGCATTTCGCCTGCTTCCGCGCACATGCACTGCCGGTGCCTTCTGTTGGAAACCTGGCAACTTCCGTAAAGCTACCAGATCGCTGGGGTATCGTTTACACTTAACAGCATATCTACGGGTCCTCTAAAGAGAGAAGTATAAACTCATAGAAAGAAGTACAAGAAACTAGTGAAGCTGCAAAGTGCCCCTGCCAAGCCAAACAGCGTCTGGCTAGAGTGTCATTGACGAGAACATTTCTAGTGGGCTAGTAAAGCCACTAGAGAAGAGTGGACAGTAAAAAGTTCGGTTGGAGGGCAGGGGCGCAACTATGCCACGTCATGTCTGCTTGTCTGCGCCCTCTAGCCGAGCAACAAAGTAGCGTATATACCCAGTTTCAGGCTTCCGAAAAAGCGAAAGACAACAGATAAATTCACTTCTTCGGGGTATATTGTTCAAAACTCTTACTCATATTTCTGTTTTCATTTGTTTTTTTAATGTCTGTTCGAATCTGAGCAATTGCAGTTCTTTGTTGACGAGGTTCCCTTATAAAGGCCACCGGTGTCTTCATTACCTTGCATCCTTCACATGTAAATGCTCCGAAATGGAATCCTCGTGCAGGTTCCTCGCAAACAGCACACACATATGTCTCCTGTGGCAAGCTACCATTGTTCTGGAACTAATTGATCATGTGAAGACTGAAAGCTGTCACTCAACTGATCTTATCGGAAGCACCTCCAAAAATCGCAAAAAATCCGGTCCTGCCGGTGTTGGAGTGGCTGTCGCGGTTCCAGTGGCAGTGACAACTGGTGGACGGCCTTCGTTTCCGCCGGCGGCTTTCTCGGCGCTGTTTGCTCGCGTCTTGTCCACCTAAACCTCTAGTATACGTATGTAATCGTCTCCTATGCTCACACTGCTACATTCTTTATTTGCACGAACTACTAGAGGGGCAACCACAAGATGACGAACTTGTTCACTTAAGGACAGCGATCAACAGCGCTCTATAGAATATTGGCAGGAATTCGGCGGCTTTCGGCTCACTTTAAAAAAATTTCCCTGTGAAGAAATTGAAAGTCAACTGGGAAAATCATTTCTCCCAGAGAATCAGGGGGAATGCAACACAAATGGGGCCCCTCGTCTCTTTTTTCATTTATCCTAAAGTGACTTTGAAATAAATCGTCCCTCTAACTAGGCACAGTTCGCCTAGGTAGAGGCACGAAATGGCACGCAGCTAAACTTGACCAGGCCACCCTATGAAGACCTGTGAATTCCTGTAGTGAAAGTGTCTCACTTGTATCTTTTCGCAGCCTCACAAGAATTCACATGTATAGCGAAAGTGAGATCTGTTAGTTGACCTTGTAAAAGGAACTAGCAACAGTGCAAGTTGCACCCCCTAGGCCGAACAGCCCGATGATGCGTACAATCCATTCCTTTCTGAACCGCAGCTTTATTGAAAATAGAGGTGGTAATATGAACGCGATTTGATCCGTACTTGCCCGATAGCTCAAGAATTCTTTGACGGAGCTCGTATGGAATCAATGGCAAGGGATCATGTCTAGCCCATTGAGATACTGTCATCAAAGACTGTCACAGTTCTGACACACTTAGGCTTGGAATCCACTGTCACTTGTTAATTTGCTCGGAATCGCTAATGCGGCTTCGCTCTCGCTACAGACAGGATGATGTTTGGGGTGGGGAAGTATCTAGGAGGGTGTTTCCTTTAAACAATCCATGCTTACGCCTGAGTAAGGTGCAATCTTAAGTAAGTTCAGTGTGTTTATTTTTTCACTACTAAGTCCTGGTATCAGTCATTTGGTCGCGGAAGAAACAACAAGTTTCGTTGGCTTGGGGAGTCAATCCGAAACTTCAATTACCTGGACGGACACGTGTAAGCGGATCTATGAACAGGTACATTAGGTGCTGTTCATTCTGCTTCTGGAACAAATCCCACGAGTAAACACGGACCTAAGAGTAGAATTAAATTAACATGAATGGAATTTAGCGGCAGAGAACAGCCAATTGTCTGTCGCGTAGTTCCAAGTAGCTCTGATGGGTACCAATGACGTGGTCATAGGAAATTTAGCAACTGACAGGAGGCGAATGAAGTGTATTAAGGGGGAGAGCAGGTGACGGCAAGTGGAACAGAGGATAAGGATATATGCGAGCATCAATAATTATTATTCCCAAATAGTAGGACAGCATTTTGAAGGCATAGATTGTGCGCACACCACACGGAGCAACAACCTTTGGTGCCCGTGCCGAAGACACGGACGGAGAAACACCAAAGACTTCTGCATTTGCTGAGAAACTGTCCTCATGTTATTAGCCGTGACTGAACCCCTTACTCATGAATATCAGACTCCACTGGAATGGGAGCATTCGGTACAAATCTCACAGGGAATGGTTCACAGGAAGCGAATCGGCACTATTTACCCTTTACTGCCCCAATCTTACGAAAACAGGCCAGTTTCCAAACGACTTTTTACTGCAATTGGCAAAATTGGCTAAAAATTGCATTTCGCTAGGTACTTTGACCTCCTGAGCATGAATATCACATCCGCTCGGCACGAAACTCCGTAGCGCCCGCGCCACAGGCGCCGGCGCCAAAATACACTAAACCACCAAATTTGCTGAAAACTTGTTCCCAGAGGTAGTCTGACCTCCTTAACACGAATATCACATCCGCTTAGTCCGAATCCTAGCGGCGGCTCTTAGGCGCTAAAATATCCCGAACCACCGGCGCCTGGGGCAGGTGCCAGGAAGTCTCGGGCAAAGCGAATGTGATATTCGTATTCAGGGGTCAAACTATCCCAGAAGGCAACATTTGAGTCAAAATATGTGCACGGATAAAAAAGCCGGTCAAAATCTGGACACAAGCTCTAAATGGTTGGGGCAGTAAAGAGTAAATAGTGCCAGCGAATCTGATATCCATCCTCAGGAGTCAAGTCCTCAAGTTGACATTGGGGATAAATAGGTACCCCACAGGGGTATTGTCGCATTCAAGTGATGATGAGTATTTGGCTTTAGAAGGGTGATGCTACCCTTTGAACAAATTTCGAGGTCCAAGTTGTAGAATTGACACATTTGCAAAAGCTTAAAAAGGAGGGTAGTAAATTATGCGCTGCGGATACTTTGTAACAATTGTAAGTTTTATCTCAGGATTGTATGAATCCTGGCTCTCAAACATTACTGACCTTTAGCTGTTCACCAAACAAAAGCTTGTTCCATATCTGCCTCAAAGACCTTGTGAGCTCTTCTGCAGAGGCAAAATCAAGCGACGGGCCGACTGAATGATCGAAAAATAAGGAGTAAGATCAGACAAACTTGGGCAGTAAGGGCAGTAAGGTCTCTGGTATGATCGAGGGCTGCTCGATAGATCAAATTGTGGAGACGGCAACCGCATACCACATGGCATGGTCTATAAATATCAGTTACCACTTCTACTCCTATCCGAATAACGTCTGGTCTGACAGGAGCAATACTCACGCTCTCCGCTTTCGTCAAGTGCAAATCGCCCCTATTTTCTTCTGCCAAAATAAAATTTCTGACATTTACCTTGGCCGCTCCCCGATATTTCACGCAAAGGATATAACGGGATCACTACAAGTTCCAAGAAAGACTTGTGGAGCGCAGATGATCTGGTAAGGAATTTCGCTGGTTCGCATCACACTGCGGATGGCCCTTGAGAGGGCCTGCTCGGTAAATTCCCTGTGAAGGCTAATGGCCAGATGAATTCATTGTATATTTGACAAGCGTTCACAGGCCTCACCAAGGAGGTACGTGTGTTCAAAAGGAACACGCAGCAGAAGCTCACGAAAGTGCAAAATGTTCCACCCCTCCTCTCCCCTTGTGTCAGCGCGCCACTCGTGAATTTTAAAGTTAGTTGGCATCGATGTGTTTCCTACTTCTTAGGCCTAAAGCTAGGCGCTTTATAGTAGGGATAATGGCGGTAAGAACGGAGTGAAACGGTCAAAATCCTGCCGGAAAAAGCCTCCTGACATATAGTCTACACTACTTTCAGTCATGATCTACCGTAGGCGGTTATTGGCGCGATGCAACGGGGAACCCATCCAAGATTGCTTTTTGAGTCGAGTAGAAGAAAGGCTTTTTTGCAGGTTTTGACCGTTTCACTTCGCTTTTTCACCATTTCCCCTCTACTGAGCACCCCTGCTACAGTTTCAGATAGAGTACGTGCCAATTGCCTTAAATGCCTTGAACGTGTGATAAATTAGTGCCGGCCGTGCGATACACGAGGGATAACAAGGCCTTCTCATCTAAGACTCTGATTGGTGACGCAACAAAGGCTATCAAAACTCTGTTAGGATACCTTGTCCCGCACAGCGCAGAGACCTGGACTTTCAGCAATCGAAACCCCCATTTATGTTTCACAAGAATGCTGAGTTATGGGCAAAAGTCGGACCACGGACGGGATTCGAACCCGCATCTTCTGCTTACCGGGCAGTTGCGTTCCCTATTACGCTACCGGGGCCACTTTTGACCACTCAGCTCAATGGCTATTTGTGCCATTGCCTTCGAGCACTCACACGTTCAACGTGGTTTCCATTTGTTTCCTTCTCTGCAAAGTAGCTTAAGCAGAAAATAGTGAAATCTCACGGAGCAGTGCTAACGAAACCTGCAAGATTTTTTGGATTCATGAGCGGAGCTTTTTGTGAGAGTGGAATAAAGAGCACTACATGAAGCTGGCAAGCTCTTAGCAAGCAAAATAAGGTATATATCACCTATTAAACTAATGTTTTATTAGGTATTCTTGTTTGTAATATACTATACTAACTGCGACAAGGGCTTTTCGAACAACTTTTCGAACTTATTCATAGTGATCCGCTCCTTCCAAGATACCGTGAAGTGTTTAGTCCAAGCATAGAATTAACCTTTACAACCGTTCAGCCTTTGCGGCCCCATCCTTCGAAAAACGGTCAAATTTTTCATAATTTTCCACCTTGGTAGATTGAGCAGAAAATTTGTCCTTGGGGTTAGTCTGATCTGAACTCAGGTATCATGTTCACCTGACATGCCAGCAGGCACAGTTCGACGATGAAAGGAGGGGCATTCTGCCCTTTCCTATTAAGGCATCGAGAAATCAAGCGAAGATCTGTAAAAAGTCTGTGAAGCCATGAAATGGTCCAATCAAAGGTTGTAGAGACTCTTGTATGGAGTATCAGTCAACTCTTGCAAACCAATGAATTACCATACAAGTACCATTTCACCCTGGTGGCTCGACAAGCATGCTCCAGCTTAACAAAGCGGCAGGTTTTACCACAGTGCAAACTGGAACTAGTGAAGTATCAAAAGTGCGAAATGCCATCCCCCCGCTTCCCCACCCATCGTCGAACTGCGCCATGCCGGCAAATGTGTCGAAGCGTCAGAGTCGTTAAAAACTCCTCCCTAGGGGACTTTGATTCCCTGAATACGAAGAGCACACTGGTTTGGAAGCGAAGAAAGCGGCTGATGCGTGCCCGACGCCAACCTTTGGCGGTGGCACCCGTTCAGCGGACGCCAGGCATTTCGCATTCAAGGATGCATGTGTCTTCGTTGTTTAGTCATTCTCGGGGTAATTTTTTTTGCTGAAACTACCTGTGAGGAAAAATCCTGACCAGAATCTGGCTATGAAGGGTAAATAGTGCAGATTTTATTCACATTCAAGCATGCCG